AAAATGCGTGAGATCCGCTAGCGAATCGACCGAAATACGACTTTAATCCACAAGAGTGGATGATGAAGCTGCCAAGTGCCCTGATGGCCAGAGGTCAAGAGTGTGATGACAACGACATTTAAAGAGGAGATCGGGCCAGCAATCTGAAGACCGATCTGAAGCGCCTGAATCTCTGCGTCATAGCTCGAGAAGGCTCGAAAAGGGGCATGGAAAGCAGTAATAAGGGTGCCAATATGATACCTAATCAGGCCCCCACCTCCGGTGGCTCTAGGAAGTCGATCAAAGGCTCCTACAGTGTTTAAATTAACCCAAGGAGACTCGGGTTTCAGCCAAACAACAACTCTAGGTTATGGATACTGGACAGGTGGCAATGGAGGTGGTGCAAGGCCTGCCCAGTCTCTCTGGATGAGTCTACCGAAAGCAGTGAGGAGGGATAGATGTCGGTCAACTTGCAAAATAATATGTGGACACAAAAAAGAGTTATACCTATGCTTCTCATCACTACAAGAATAATCATTTTTAGTGACGATAATTTTTGTCGCTATGTCGTCACAAAATATACCGTCACAATAAGAGGTATTATTGTGACGACATTCGAACATACAGCGACAATATTAAGACATTATTATCAACGGTATATTTTCTGACGACATAGCGACAAAAGTTATCGTCACTAAAAATGATTATTCTTGTAGTGCATTATTCCTTTCTGTCCAGGTGGCTCAAAGGATCAGACAAGAAATAAGGAAGCCTACGTGCCTATCGTGTGTGATGTGTCTGAAAAAACTCAGAATCTCAAAAAAAGTATATGTGGAGGGTAGGGGGATATGAGTGTAACTGGTATAATGCTCTCACACTCTCTTCACAGTCTCGCTCTAAAAAAAAAAACAAATGGGTGAAGGCCTCCATCTGAAAATCGTCAGTCTCAGCACAACAGAAACAAAGCAAGGGGAAAGAGAACCCCCTCGCCTGCATCACAGTATCAACCGGAAGACGGCGCAAAAGGAGGTGCCATAGGAAAACAAAGACGGTCGGAGTAAGGTCGGTCCAGATGGCTCCGAAGAGAAGGTAGGCCGATCGCCCAGCCGTACTTCTCCCAAGCCGAGGTCGTAGAGAATGTCGCCGAAGATGTAAGTCTCCACCTCATACCGTCTAAACCGTCCTCCGAGATGGGAATCTGCTAGATCTCATCTATCACCTTGTCACTAAATCCCGCTCCATGAAGCAGAATCCTCTCTAACCTATCCTTATCCATCCCACTTCCGTCCACAGGTCCTTCACATGTATAAAGGGAAGGTGAGTGACTTGTCTAGTGCTCGAAAGAGGACGCTCACCAAACCACCACTCATCCCAAAAGCTAATGTCCCCCTCACCCAGAGTCCAAATTATATGCTTCTGAGCACGTCTACTAACCATAGTGAGCCGCCTCCACTGTTTGCTATCGCGGACAGTGGTCGTCACCCTACAAAGGTGGGCAGCACCTCCAGGACAGTACTTCCGACGAAGATACTGAGCCCAAAGTGACATACCCTCCCTAAAGCGCCACCACATCTTATAAGAGAATGCAGTGACGCCATCAGAAAAGCATTGAATCCCGAGACTTCCTTTAGAGTAGGGGCGGCAAACGGAGTCCAACTTCACCCAGTGCCCTCCTCATGCCCCCAAAAATAACGAGGGTGCTCTTGATCAGAGCAAGCCGACCTCCAAAAGAGAGGTTTCGTCTGTGATACCAACTAGAGATCCATTCAATCATCCTCTGCGTGTTGTCTATAAAGATCTCATGCGAGAGATGACCTTGTACAGGGGAGGCACCGAGATAGCTGATGGGGAGGTCGCCACCCACAAAATCAGTGCACTCATGGACTTAATGGGACCACTGGTCCGCAATGTGATGATCAAGGGTGAAGGTGCTCTTTTGCACACTGACCAGTTGTTTATTGTGTTTTTGTGCTTATTTTCGTGTGTTTTATGTTCTTGAGTTCAGTATTTTTAGGTCCGTTTTAGTGTTGACCGGTCCATATTATCGTGTTTCGTGCATTTTTACTCTCGTATTGTGTTTTTGTGGTTCGGCGTACCTTTCTCGTCTCTTTGTGTTGTTTAGGTCCACATTATTCAATCTTAGGAAGACGATCCATTTTTGATATATATTTTAGTCGTCTGAACCATGTTTGAGCCACGCGAGCCATTTCTGAGCCTTTCCAAGCATATTATTAATTGCATGTTGTCACCCATTTACACATCTCAAGACGAGGAGAAGAAAATTTGAGAAGCGTGGGTCAAAATTTCAAGTCAACCAAAGAAGCGTGCGAGAAGTTAGAGCGAATCGAGCATCAAGAGGTCACCGGGACCATTCCCACGCACCTGCTCGCGCCCGAGCTCACATCGCCCATGCCCGCGAGCTCGTGGAAAAATCCGCGACGTCGAGAGTGCTCTCTATCTATGCCCGCGAGCTCGTGGAAATTTCCGTGACGTTGAGAGTGTCCTTCTAGCACCCGCGCCCGCGAAGCCCTGCTAGCCCACGAGTGCCGACAGCCAGCATCCAGTGCCCGCGTGTTCGTGCATCCGCGCGCATGAATCCTCTCCAACCCGCGAGTTTTGCTGATCGCGCCCGCAAAACGGGCTTATCCCGCCAGTTCCTGGAAGTGCCATGCTAGCCCGCAAGTATCAAAGCCCGCGCCCGCGAATCCTGCCTATCCCGTGAGTCCCTGCTGCCATGCTCCCGCAGCCCGCGAGTTCAGCTCCCCACGCCCGCGAAACACCTCTAGCCCGTGAGCCCCGTGCTCATGCTGCCTGCACTCGCGAGCGAGCCTTTGCTCGCGAAAATCCGGCTTTTGCTTGCGAGCTCAACCTATCCTGCGAGTTTTTCTCATTAAATGTGTGTGTTTTAGTGTGTGTTTGTAGTGTAGTTATTAATAGATATTGTGCTTTGTAATTTTTAACATAACCCTCATTTCCCGACTTTTAAGTTGGGAAATCCTCTCCATTTTCTCTCTTTTATTTTTTTATGCTTTGATTGGAGACTCATGACTTGATTTTTCCGATGAAATTCCGACAACTTTATTTACGATCAAGATTCGAGTTTTACGCACTATTTTCGTCTACGCATGCGATAGGAGAGTAAGTACCTTTCTTAGGGGCTAATTACTTCGAGTTTGTTTTTCGATTTTGTGTTGATGCTCGATTCTAGGTTTTCGCTCTAGTTTTTGCTTGCTTTCGTGTGTTAGGATTCGATATGTGCTTATCTAAAAAGGTTTCGAGTTTGATCAAAGCGTGATGATTTAGTGTAGAAAGCTCGTGTTAGAATACCTAGGATCACTATGCTCGCTTGTTTTCTCTTGTTTATTTTTTTGTTCTTGAGTCATGGGGATTCCGGTTGACCAAAGTTTCGATCCTTCTCTCTACATTCGCATTTTCCATCATTTGCTCTAGATTTTTAGTTTAATTTCATGCAAATCCAATCACTTCAAGCGAGTAGAATATGTAGGACTCTATTTTTCGGTTATGTGATTTTGACGACCAGGTAGTGACCGAAGCTCCGAATAGCCTTCCTTTGAGAACGACACGAGTCCAGTAACTCGATTACCAACTAACCAAAAATACTAAAAACAAAATGGCCCAGAAACCGAGCTATAATGTCCTAGAAGGTTCATGAGCTCGGCCAGTCCATTATTATCCGCGCAAGTGAAGATAATAATGTCATCCGCATAAGAGATGTACGAGATAGGGAGACCGCAGCCACGCGTGCTATAGGTCTTCCTCGGAAAGTCACGAATGAAATCGTCGAGGCAACGAGACAGGTAGTTTGCCGCCAGGACAAAAAAGTATGGGGATAAAAGGTCTCCCCGTTGAAAACCACGGGTGGAACGGAAGAAGTCAGTGGGGCTACCGTTAACCAGAATCGAGAACATGCAGTGCTCCACGCACGCTTCCACAAAACTAATCCAACGCTCAGAGAAGCCCATCCGAGATAGAACCTCCCTGAGAAACGACCACTCGACCCTATCATATGCCATAGCAATGTCTAGATTCAGCACAAGGTTCGGGGCTCGTAACCGGTTTCCATGGGAGA